ATGTAGCAGTGTAGGCTATGTAATGTTAACACAATATAAAAACCATTTGACCATATAAAGAAATCCATCACAAGCTAATGTCAGCTTGCATGCGCATAGGAAATCATTTTTGCTGAGGAGTGCTGCACAGTATAAATGCATGCGCATGTATGTGCACATGCTTAGGCAACATGGCTTCAAGCTGCAGACCACTGCTGGAGACCATCAAACAACAAAACTGGTTGCTTTTTAGTGAGACATTGGCAGCATTTCCAGCAGCAATTGTGCCACCTAATGCCAGTAATTGTAGCCAAAACCTGATCTATTTGTAACCACAATCAGGTGGTTTTTGTGCCTAAATCTAGTCACGCTGACCACAGCATTGTTGAAATGTAAAGTTTTAACATATCTGCAAGAAGGTAAAAATGTTTACGATTCCAAACATTTATTCTTGCAAATGGATTGAGAAACAACAGGAAACGGTTAAGTTAGTCCTAACAATGCAGTCTCTCATCTCAGACACAATTTGTCTCTGGACTGCATGTGCCAAAATTTCTAATATTTCCTTTTAAATGGTGCTGGACATTCAGTTGTTTCTGTGCTTTATGTCTGTTCACGTCCCCTGGGCAACTCATTAACATTATATCCATTTGTCGTCCACTTCATCATTAGCTTCTATAAAACTCCATCCTGATAAATATGCCCCCACAGTGGAAGTCCCTCACGTCCAAGATATTTCATGTATCTAAAAAGCAGCTCCAAAACTGTCCTAGCAAATTTCTGGCCTTTCGTTTAATGTTTAAGGTGTCACGTCAGATCAGAGGAATTAATCAAATTTGCACATTGCACAAATATTTTCTGACAGGCACCATATCATAATCTGTTTAAAATGTAAAGCAAATGTTCAAATAGCCATGAGCCAGCATGCTCAGCACCCAACCTTGTCTTGAAAGTAGAAAAAACTATTGGAAACACACTATTCAGAATTGTCTGAAACCTGAGGTTTTGCTCACACAAGTTACTTTTACATATGTTTACTGCAACATTTGAAACTTTGTCCATGTTTAATATAAACATCTGATGTAGCAACGTTAGATTATATATGACAGAAAAAAAGGAAAGGCGTTAATAGGTCCCTTTGAAAGAAATGAAAAAATTAAACTTTCAGAAACTATAGTTATTATAGTGCTATATTATTGTGGCTTACATTTTCCTGCACATTGTCTTTGGGATTGGTTTGTAGATCATTGTGGATATGAGTGGAGGTTCATTCATGAAGTGATGCATCATTGATTTTTTCCCCAGCAACATGAACTTTAATTTCAAAATGAATAACACATTTTCCCTTATTCTTTTCAATTACCTCCCCTGCATTCCTCTGTCCTGATTTACTGGGACTAATTCTAAAGTTTTTATATCACAGGTAGAGCTGCTTTTTGCAGGAGTACCCCAGCCTCGTAGAGACTGTCGATTAATATGGGAAAGTACTGCTCAGACAGCTGAAAGGCTCCACATGACAAACCGAATGGCATCATAACACCACCACTGCCACAGCAGCGCTCAGTTAGAGGAGCTAAAACACAGCATGAATTATTCTTGTTAATAAAAATTCATGAACATGTGTCTGTGCATGTGTTTGCTCGTGTTTTTGTGAGTGTGTGTGCATGGTACAAATTCAGACGTTTCCAAAACAGCAGTATTTATAGTGTGTTATCATCGGTGCTCATCTCTCAGCTCAAAAATACTGCAGGAAGAGGCTTCCAGAAGGGAAACGATGATCAAAAAAAATCAGAATCAGGCTTATACAGATGTTTTGGCAACTATTTATTCAACAATTTTCATTTCATACATGAGAACGAACCTCTAAATTAAATATAATAAATCCCACAGACAATGGGAGAAAAACACCTCCATTACGGTGCTATATATCGAATCAAGCCCTCTCAGTGCAGCTTGATATGAAACCTCTTATTTCACCAAGGTACATCAGAAGCTGAACTAACATTTCTAGCTCTAATCCTGACCTTTACTGTGGATATTTTGTATTTTGTGAGTGATAGTGTGTCACAACTCTTTCCATCTAAGCACTGATATACATAAAGATGTGTGTTGCTACAAGGAAACATTATGATAGAGGACAAAAGCATTGAACTGCTTACATACCATAAGCTAAAATAAGACAACATTGTGTATAAACACAACTTCTACCATTCTTGAAACTTGTGATTATTTGCAGCATATTTCTAAATGTCAGTATTTCAAGTCAGTGATCATATCAAAAAATGCTTTCATAAGTCTAATATCCCAATGAGAGCAAGATGACAGTATTACTGAAGAATCACTGAATAATTTTTATTAACATTGCGGTAATCTTAAACTCAACAAATACATGGTGTCAGCATTCGAGGACTGGCAGAGTGAGAAGTGCTCGCAAGTCCCCAATTTTAAGACAGAAAACAAACAAACAAACCAAAAAAAAAAAAAAAAAATCTCTAAATGAAATATATTCCTGAGATGCAAAACAAAAGAGATATAATTCAAAAAAAAAGAAAGGAAAAACAAAACATCTCTACATGCGATTGTGTCACATGTCGTTGTCATCTCTGTGACAATGTATGGAGATTGGGCTGATTGATTCTAGTGTCAATATTGCAGAGGAACAAAGAAGTGCGCTGAAGCCAAACTGTACAGCAAAGACATATGAATGGTCAGAGGAGGAGAGATAGGACTGGACCGGGCCATGTCATGCTATCATCACTGCTGTGGAAAACAAAAACCATGAGTAAAAAAAAAAAAGCTAAACAATACAGTAAAAAAAAAAAGAATTATTTTGACTCAGAGTGGCCGTTACTCTCTTATTCATCCCTTTTTAACAGGAGATTCAGAGTTGGTATTTTTCGTTGATATGGGCCTCTAATTTCCTGAAGTGGGGGACAAATTGCTCGCAAACAAGGACAAAAATGCACATATGTGAGTGCCCGACTGACTGCAACACTTTGTGACCAGAGGTGCTCTCCTGGGGCAGTGCAGTGTGGTGAAAAAGGCTGTAGCAGGATGAATACATAATGCAGTATCGGCAGGTGGAGTTTGGACAAGCTTCAATGATCACCAATCGCATCAGCTCGTCTCATCCTTTTTTAAAAGAGGCAGACAGGTGGGAGGAGGGGAGAGATGGAGGTGCAGAGTCGCAAGGCACACACAAAAAAGCTCCCTAAATATGCATCAAAGGATGTTCTGATGTCCCTTATTAAAGTTGAATTTACATATGAGGACACACCGAAATCTGGTGATCCCATGTATAACTTAATGATATCAGTGCACTTGGTCAACATCGACAGTAACTTGTGGTAGGCTATAATAAAATGCTTCTATGATTAATGCCTGTTGCCTACTACAGGTATAACACACACATATGATTAAAAGTCACACATACAGGTCTGTAATGTGCCAACGCCAACATGGAAATTGCTCACAAAATGGTGTGCAATTTCATGCCAAAATTACTGCCAGTGTTGCACTGCCTGATCTGCATTAACAAGTAACCTCAGCTGCATCGCTCCCGCCTACACTCGAAGGAAGTGGGTTGGTTTGGAACCAGGAAATTTACCAAACAGAGGCTACAGAGTCTTTAAAACGGGCTAGTGCCCAATGAAAATGGTGCCGCATCTGCGTTAGCGCCATTACTGTCCTGCCGCCAGGATGAAATTAGAGGCCCATGATATGGCGGATATTAACCGGAACCATGTATGTTGGAAAGCAAGGAGGCAACAAGTTTAAAGCTTAGTTTCAACCGACAACATAAAAAAAAGTAAAATGACTAATAATAATAATAAGGTGTGACACAGCTACAGGTGATTCTATCATAGCAAAATAGTGCATGATGGTATGTGCCAGGCTGTTAGAATAACAAATTAAAAAACAAAACAAGATTCAGGTTTGGTCTAACTATCATAAAAAGCCATTTGCAACAAATTAGCTCATTACTGTCATGTCAAAACAAATATTTACACGTGGTTTCCAGAAAGAAAAACAAAACAAAAAAACACATTTCACCATTTACTAAGAAATATCCATCAAATTAGTCAGAGTGCATAATTCAGTAAATGGCACCTGTTTCATTTCTAAACACCGACTCGTCACTGCAGACCCAGTTATTTATGAGTGTTCATTTAATATAAAACAGACTGTTTCTCAGACTTCAGAATCAACAAATCCATTTCACCACTCTCTTATTTTTCTAGGATGGATACACAGATGTAAAGCAAACTGAAAATTTGATTGACACCATCACCGTTTTAAGACACAATGAAAAGAACTACATAGAAAAGTAAAAAAACATCTTGATGAATGTCATTATACACACGTGATACAGAAGGTTCGCCTGGATCTACTTAAGTACCGTGGTGAGGCTGACGTCAATCTATATTGATTGTGTGAATTAGAATGATAGAATATGGAGACTGCGGCAAAGCTTCTGCATTTTTAAAACAACTTATTTAAAACATAATATGCAACCTAAATTCTACATCAGTGCTGACAGGTTTAATGATTCCCAACTTGTGATTCACTCCAGCGGTGCTTGAGTTATAGCACATAGAAAAAGACCTTACTCGCTGACCTTATTTGCATAATGTTGTAAATTGGCCATCGAATTGGAGACAGCTGGGCCCACTATTTTATTGCCCTTGGTAATAATTTGCTCCCTCTTAGTAGATTAGTGCCTTGCCTTTAAGTCTTTAGTTCCAGAGGCCACAGTGTTTATCGCTCTTTCACAGGAGAGTAAATCAGCCACATTCCTGCAAACTGATGAAAGAGGAATGGCGGGGATATATGAAAAGAAACAGAAGTTGTTTACAAGGATATGTGACGTTAGTCTTAGCGTGTGTGAAACTTCCATTGCCTCCGACATGAAGGTAATGTTTCTTTTGATGCATTTCAATTCCAATTTGTATTTTAAGGATTTGGTGAAGACAGATGCACATTTCATTTTCTTCTATTTCGCCTCACTTTTGTTGATCATATTTTTTTTTTTACAACACCAAATCCTTCCCATCTGTAGCACCCGAGAGCCCGCCACAAACACAAGCCACATTTCTCCAAAATTACAAACATACCTTCATTGTGGTTCTCTCTTAAATAGCTTCAAATAAATTAAAATATGAAAAAGAACCAAACAAAAACATGCTAATGTGTATTACCAAAGTTTAGTTTTCACACATTATATACATGCCTTGTGCCCAAAAAATTACATTTGTTTAAAAGTTCTCCAATAAAGATTATGCAATGACAAATGAAAAAAAAAATGCAAATAGATAAGGTGGCTAATATACAAATTTGAAGGAATATGGGAATCCAGAATTTAACAGCAATTTTCACAATCAACCACATTTTTAGCAGACACAATACACAGCAGGGAGCTTAGAATCATTTAAACCAAAAAATATTAAAAACTTTTTTTTGTTTTTTTCTATAAAAACATGATTTAGCTTACATTTTCAAAAAGATGCACTGTATTTTTTTTTTACCCCCCAGATTTGAATCAAAGACAGCCTTGTCATCTTCCCACTATCCATTTGAATATAAGAACCATTCCCAAGGCAATCTTTTGTTGGCAAAGGAGCGCAGTTACTCATTCAGACATTTTTGTGCTTCTCTATTTGTCTTCAGTTTTTAGTATTTGGAAAGGAGGCCCGTGTAGATCTATGACCCAGCCCTCACACACTATTAACTTTTTTTTCTCTTTTTTTTTTTTTTTTTTTTTTTTGCTTGAAGACCCCATGAAATGGAAATCAAAGTTCAGTTCATGGAGAGCAACTCCGACTAATGGAAATAAGAGGAGCAGTTATGCAGTCTGACAGGTGGGAGTTTTTTTTGACATGTTGGTAATATAACTAAATTGTTAGGCGCTTGTAAACAGAAATTTAGAGGTGGCGATATAAACAAAAAAAATTGGTTCCAGTCAAACTGATGTCATTGCCGTTTGTAAAAGGTAATAATATGATTGGATGCTTATCTGTGAGCCAGAAAATGAACAGACATGTGGATACAAACCGCTGTGGAAAGCTGCCTGGACCTCAAGCTTACAAGAGGTGAAAATGAAAATTACATCACTGACAGAAAATTAATTTAACCAGTGAATTTTCTGTTCACGCTGCAACCGTGTACTTGTTTTTATTAGCTCCTAATAGTTAATTTTACATTTCACGGGGTCCTTAAGCCTCAAAATTATTCCAATGTGACACAAACATAAACAAAAAGAATTCAAAGTGAAAAGCTAAACTCATTTTCAATACAATTTATACAGCTTTTAGAGAGAGGAGAGTCATTCTTTCTGTACACCTGAAGCCTTTATGTGAATCACAAACTACTGTAAGCTGTCGAGAGGACACTGAAGGTGTTGGTGTTTCACTAAACTGCAGCCTGGACAGTGCAGGAATATACAGACAAAGGTACATAGGGACAGCAGATTTAGCAAATGGTCTTATATACTTGATTGAGTTTATTCGATGGAATGCTTCGTCTAGCATCTGCGTGTATTCTCTGCTCTAAACAATACCACACTACCCTTTATTACCCTTACCCTAATAATGAAAATCATATTGTACACTTATCTGACAAACCTTGCTACAGTGTTACACAAAACCTTCTTCTTATCTTACAAGGGTCAACTGTTTAATTACAAGTCTATTTAGAGGGGGATGGGGTTTGGGGGGAAGTGGATCTAAAAGTACCATATTCAGTGTGATAGACATGTATAAGGCGTAGACAGCAAAGATCTTTGTTAAAATAATAATAAAAAAAGACGCAATGCATAATCAAAAGCTGTGAGCTAAGCAATGAAATGATGGTCCAGTTAACCCATCTACAAAGCATTTACATTGCTACTGACAGACGATACATGAAGGCATTGACAGAAGTTCAATGGCGTCTGTATTTTTAGGCACCGTGTTGACGTGAGATATGATATGTGTTTGTGGACGTGTGTGAACAAAGGGCGGGGGATACAGTGTGTGTTCGGGTGTCTGCTTGGACGGGAAACAGGAGAGGAGATGAAGAAGGGCTCATGTAAGAAGCAGTCATGGTAGATATACAGACTTCCAGGCATTCATGTCAAAAAAATGAGGAAAAATATGACAAAGGAGACAACTTCGGGGCAGCGACGGCAAGCTGCCTGTGGAAACCGGCTGCCAAAAAAAGAAAAAAGAAAGAAAGGACAAGATGTAAATGATAGACAAAAGGCAATAATAGGAAAACACTTGGGGAACTTCTCTGTCTGTGGACTGCCTGCGGGTTCCTCGTTGACACGACGGGGGCAGTGGTCAGAGGTGGAGAAGAAAAGGGGGAGACAGAGAGAGAAAGAGAAAAAGAGATACAGGGATTGAAAGAAGGGAAAAGGGGGTAGGAGAGAGCTGCACAGCTCCCTCTGCAGTCTAAATGAAGTATTCTTTCTTTTCTTCTGCGTGCGCATGGTTGCCCTCAGCGTTGATGATGGCTGTGTCGGCGTCGGGTGCGTCGTCCGCCCCTTTGGCCTCGTTTGTCAAGTACGTTCCTGTGGAAGCGAAAAACAAACCTATATCAAGGAAAACAAATACCGAGCAGCCCTGCGTGGTGTTTGCTGCCTGAGGCGAAAAACACATCTGAGGACAACATCAGTAATGCTACATAATTCATATACAGAATGAGAGGAGGCTAGGATAGTGCAGGATATGCAAATATGGCACAGAGTAAGTGTGGATAACTCCGCATCAACAAACACCTTTATTGTTCTCCATGAATCGAAGCTAAAAGTTGGATGTCTAAATAATGTGATGCAGATCTCAGGTTTAAGTAAAAGCTCAATTTTGTAGCATCAGAGTTGGAAACCGACCATTAGCTCTGACCCCTGGGCTGTTTTTGCCCCTTTTTCTCCCCTCTCTTTCTTTAGAGCAGAGTCATGGTATGTATTACCCAGGTATGCCATGTATTATTTCTGAAATAAGATGGATTACTTTAAAAAGTTATCAATTTGCACGAGTTGCACAATGTATGTTTTAGGACAGTTTTTATGAAAAACTGTGTTTGAGTTTTTTGTCTGCATGTCCAAAGGTTTTCAACATTTTTCAACAAATATCTGTATGTGAATGGACAGAGGCGAGAGTCATTGTTCCAGGAATATAAAACACATGTTCATCCTTAGTACGGTCAAAACAATATATTGACAGTGTATGTTATTGGTTTTTGATACTTCTATTTGAGGCATCCAAATGCTCTAGGTGTTGGACTAACACTATCATTGTAACTATCACAGGATTACTTTAATATCTAAAAGGGGTCATTTGTATTTTTTTGCAAGTGGCAACCTCCAGGACTGAAAAATGAAGCCAATACAGAAGTGCCAAAAACAGAGGCGCTCACCTGCTAGAGCAGACGGCCCATGTAAAAATCCTTTGTCCTTGCTGCTGCAGCCATGGGTTCGCTTCCAAGCTGCGACCCTTTGCTGCATGTCATTCCTCCTCCATCTCCCTCTGTCAGGCTAAAACATCTGTACTATTGATAATTATTTGTGGTATGTTTTTTTAATCTGCATGTTTAGCTGTGTTTACCTTAAGATACAACATTGGTAAGACTGTATGTGTTCTGTGCTGCTGTCCCTTTACCCTCCACTGTAGGTCTGCCCAGGTGAGCTGCATTACTTAAGGTGCAGCACACCTGGCATGGAGGAGGTGCTTAACAGCTCCTTTGCCAGCAGCAGAGGAGAGAGGCCTCTGGTGTTGGGACTGCTGGTCCTGCTGCCTTTCTCCATGGGATTTTTGTTGTCTTGTTTGCTTGTTATCTTATTAATAAATCTTTTTAAAGATGTCTTATGTGGTTATTTTGGGTCAGTGATGGAGTTTTGTTTGCATCATAGTGCTGTCCAAGGGTGGAGCGTAACAACCAATTGCCTAGTTCTGTGAGATAAAAAAAAAAGAAGGGCTGTCTGATGGCAAGGTAAAGCAGTGAACATAGTCTATACATAGCATACACTTAAAGTGATATTAATTTTTTAGGTGGCTAAAATATAGCCATGTTTCCATCAGCCTGTTTAGATGCGCATGTAGAAGTATCGCATCGGAAAATTATGACAGAAACGCCAAAATACGAAATAAAATCTCCTGATTCGCACAAACTAAAATATGCTCGCTTTAGCCGGGTTTTGGTTGATTCGAAAAAATGTTGATTCGCAAAACGGGGCATGGAAACAGTTACGTTCGAATTAAGTCTGATGTAGCACACCTCTCTCCATGGTGATATCCACACTCCGGGTCGGGAAGGCGGTAATGCATTTACAAGCTGCTTGCCAACTGCCAGAAAACGTAGAAGAAGAAGAATGCCAGATTTGTTTTGTTTCCGGTTCTGCGGAAAACTCGTGCGAGTTCGTAGTTTTCACCAAAGTCTGTACATTTAATGGAAACACACAGGATTCGTATTTCTTTTAATGCGCATTTCCCAATGATTCAAATCACTTTTGGATGGAAACATAGCTTATGTCCTACTGCTGCCCCCATCCACAGCAGTACATTGTTTAGCTTCCATGGTGGTACTCCTGTCTGCTTCTCCAAACTGGGGGGCATACTGGCCCCCATCTACTGTAGGTAATGCACTAACTATGTAACTCATACAACTCCACTTCATCTGTGATTTCTAAGCAGATTCATGGACAGGTCTGAGAACAGGGAGTGACATTTATGACACAATATGTGGACATGGATGGCAAGAGGTTAAAGTAATATTATGTTATAACCCTCTCTCCTCAGTATAATATTAATATTCAAAATAAGACGTATCTGGATTGCTTTTAACTCAGTGAGTCCTGTGTACGCTCTTGTGGCACCATACAGTCCATCTCATGTCCATCAATGCTTCTTTTTCTCCACTGCAGATGTGGTGCACTTGTAACTGGGGGATTGTGAAGGGACATTGATGTCTAATGGGACATGTAGGACATGCTCCACTAGTTCCACGAGCCTCGAGAGACTCGGCTCTGGTCCACTGCGGTTTTTACCTTTATGCCTGGCCAGGTATCTTCCCAGAACAATGATTAAACACAAGGTGACAAAGACCACTACAGCCACCACTCCTCCGATCAAGGCATGGTCAGTGCCGTGCTGCCCCAGAGCGTTTGGATCTGAGGGGAGACAGAGAGAGAGAGACAAAGAGAGCAGATGAAGGCGCCGCTTGGTGAGGTGAGGGAGTGAGGGCAGATGACGAACAGCAAAAGACAGACAATACAAAACAGAGCAGGGAGGAATAAGGAGATTATTTCCAGCTCGTTCCTGCTCTAATGAGCTGCTGTCATTCCCCTCTCCTTTCACATCATGCAGTCAGAGCTGAGCTGCCTAGCTCTCTGAGAATAATAAAATGGAGACAGAGAAAGAGAAAGAGAGACGGACATCACGTTGACACAAAGAGCAGCTACAGGCAGACACACATTCACCCTGCAAAATGAAGGAAAAGGAGAATGAAAGAAGGACTCAGAAAAAAGAAGTAAATAATTCAGGATCACCCCCACGATGCCGCAGGAGTCCCCGACATGCAAACCAGGGCGGCAGTGGAAGAGTAGTACACAGTAAATAAATCATCACACAGAAAATACAAAGGAAAGATCAATCTTTTTCTGTTTTTTTTTTTTGGCGAGGAAGGATTGTTGTTAGGAAAATGAATTGGGTGTTAGAGAGTTGCTACAGGTCCCCAGCTGTTGGGTAAGCAGTGGAAACGATAGCAGAGTCATGAAAGAGTGAGGATGAGCCTGTTCACGCCTCATGCAAAAGCCCATCAAAGGTTTCTGTTGCTTTAAAAAAAAATAGCTTATTTCCTTTTATTCACATCGACTCCCTTTTTCCACAAAGTCTGGCTTGCAGGTTATTTAAGTTGAGAGGAAGGACGTGATACTGACGGCGTCCACTGTAGGTGAATCAAAAAAAAAGTTGACAGTGACAGCAGTGGGGGAGATGGGTAATGGAATAGCCTGTATTATTCATATCAGTCCATGACACCTGAGAAATTAGCACTCATCTCATTATCCTCCTCTGAGTGCCAGGGCATGCCATATACCACCCTGTCACTCTGTGTGTGTATGTGGGCTCATGATAGCAAGAATATGGCAATGTCAGAGCAGGGTAAGCAGTGATAGAAGGGTGGGTTTAGACACACAGCACACGTCGCATATTGACACCGTTTCTCTTCAGTATTCTCCTTTTCTTTCTGTGTCCGCCCATGTGGCCAAATTGAACAGCTGGCTTGCTCTCGCTCCATAACTCTCCATGGTCTGAGTGACCAGGCCGTCACACTTCACTGCCTCCCAGTGGACAAACACACACTCATGGCGACACACGCGCTCATACACACAGACGTGTGCGGCGCGGTTTCACTGCGCGGCGGTTCTGCTTGGTCAGTGGAGCAGAGAGTAGAGGAATGTTCCCCTGGCACGGCCCAGCAGGGCGAGGACTCGGGCGTTTAGTTACACACATGGCTGTGTCTCTTCACCTCTATCTGTCAGGACGCTGAGTGTTTTTTTACCATCATACACACTCACTGTCCTACTGCTGCGCCTCGGTCCGGCTGTTACAACCCAGCATGGGCACAAACAAGCCATGACAGCCGTATGTATGTCTGCCTATAGAGTGCTACACGGTTTTGTCCTGCAATATGCTGGTGTCATGTCCAGACGGTTGGGCTGTGAGTCAAGCCGCTGGACACTTCTAAAACATGTCTGATCCTGCTGCTACTCCATCACTTCCTTCAGGGAAAATCTGTCCTCTGAGCGGAACTGAAGGGTTGTTCTGTGTAGATTTCAGTTTATATAGTTTATTTCTCCACAACATTGCTAAATACACTACTTAATATACATGCTATTGCCTTCTCATAGCTCCAAAGCTCCATAACAAGAAGTATATTTTGTGATTTACTGGAAAAGTGGCAAATGTTTGCCATATAGGCTACTGAGCATAAGGAGCACTGACTAGAAAGTTTGATCTTTTCCATTGCAATTTTGTAGCTCCTGCAAATCCAGAGGAAAGGAACTAGCTACATAGAGCTGCAATGATGAAATGATTAATCTATTAGCTGTAAACAATTAAATTAATTGCCAACTAATCTGATAATGATTAGTTAGAAAAAGATAATGTGTGGCTTTGATCAACGCTGATCTGCCTTTTTTAACTATTTTCTAATATTTAATATGTCAAACATCTAATTGATTAATCGAGAAAATAATTGAAATAAATTGTTAGCTGAAATATAATAATTGTTAGCTGCAGCCCTAAAGCTAGCTGCACAATTCAAAGGAAAACCACTCCACCAATTTTACCCATCTTAAGCCGAATTTTTGGTACACTTTTAGTGAGTGTCACTCGACACTCGACAGAAAGAAAGTGTCGATTGAGACTCATTTCATACATTGCTCCTGGAGAATTTTGTTATGTCACAGGCAATGTCACATTCTGTTGAGCAATTTGATTCTGTAGTGTTACTATTGAGAAATATAGCAGTTTTCAATCAACATCAACTCCAACCTGCATTCAGCATCTCTGTCCTCAGAAGCAGCCATCTGTCTACAGCTGCTTTTGGGGACCTGAGAGGTCAGCATAGGGCCAAACTGCCTTCGCTAGGCTGACTGACAGCAGACATTTATTGAAGCAAAAATATTTTTCCTGTCGTCTCCATGAGAAGAAATCAACAGTGTTTGTTTTTTTGGATGAACTGATTTAACTTCCACGCCCACTGTAGTGAGTGAGGGAAATCTGCCACTTACAGACATACTGGGAGCTGATCAATCAATGTAGATATGGGAAACAGTCATAACATCATATACCGCGGTAAAATTTCAGGAGGGTAAGAAGGAATGAAAAATTAGATACCACCCAAGCCTGGTTCAAGGCTACTTTATGCAGCCCTCCAACAGGTAAAAACTACACAGAACAGTGTAAAAAAACACCAGTACAATATGGCTTAACATGAACACCTCATTGTACCAGAGGCAATGCAATGCAAAGAAGCAAAATGAGTGTTTTTACATTTCCCATTAAAATAAATCAGTCACATCAATGCGTCCTGTAGATAAAATGATCTACCTAATTAATTCCGTAGCAGTTAATATGGCTTATGTTTCCAAATCCTGCATAACCAACTGCATCATCACTTGGCACACAGTGAAGCTGGCAGCAACCACAAGCTATGAAGATGGAGTTTGTGAAGCAGGTAAAAACCACTCCACCCTCGTGACATGTCGAATCCCTGCCCCATGTATTTCGGGTGTTAGAAAGAAGAGATGAAGCTCATTCCTAAATTCTGCTGGAGGCAAATTAGCCATTCCTAGCGCAGCACACCTGAATCTCGTACTGATCTGTCAGCGGCCAAGTTGCAGTATGGGTAATGTAGGCACCAGGTTTTGCCAAGGTTGAAGAATGTGGGGAATAAAAAAAAAAACAGTATCTCTGGTTCTGCTGCATCAACTTTGACCTTTTTTTAAAAAACTGTCCATCTTGAGTCTGACAATGTCATCGGAGTGTAATGCTACATCGATTAAGACATCTTTCAAGCCACTGCGGCTGAGTATTTTTATACTCAGGATTAGATTTCACTGAGGTATACCATTAACTTGATACTCGTGAAGCTACAGAGGTGGGTGGCACAAATTCATCACAACAAATACTTTCTATTCGAATGCTGTCAAAACATGACTCACTCATTGCGATCTTATATATTCTGTTCTTGTCCACTGCTACTCACGGAAGGAGAAAAATACAGCGAGGGTGTATGAAGACACACTGAGAAAGGAAATGAAAAAAATAGAGATTGATGGACAGGAAAAGGCTGAAATTTCAGTTGGGGCAGGACGGAAAAGGAAAGAAGACAAGGAGAAGAGGGATCTAGAGGAGAGGCTTATAAATTTTTATGGCTCCAGAACACATTATCTTTTAATAAGGGCACATACATACTTCTCTGTGCGATTTAATATGAGAGCGTGGCAGAGCAAACTCCTCTTTTAATATTTATAACACTCTGCTTGTCGCCTGGCCTTGCGAGTTGGGCTTGTTTAATAAATTAAAGGGGTTCAGGGCTTCTGTGAGCAACTGCTTGGCTGGACTGAACTAAAAGTGTTGCTCTTAAACGGCCCCGCTAACTCCTCATCTGATCTGTTCCACTGATGCAGGCTCCATATGGGGTTACTGTGGGAGGATATGTGGTAGTGATCCTGTGTGGGTTCCCCAGAGGGTGTGTGAAGGCTGGGAATGGAAACAATATAATTTAGAGTCACATTATCTGGTGAGATTAAATGACTTATAATCACATTTCTGGAGAGAATGTGACGCATGATGCACATCAAAGTAAAAGCATGTGTGATGGCTGCTTTACATTTAACATCAGCTTCCACAACAGTTTGCTGTTCATTGCTGCAATGTGACAAAAATAAACAATTATTAGTCCTCAGCTGGTCCAAAAAAGGTGGCATGCAGATTTGGAAATTATGTGCAAAGGACTATTATTATTTCAAGTGGAGGCTCAAATATTCCATCAAGGGCTCAGCTGGAGAGAAATGATCTACAAGAAAAGCCTTCCGACCTCCGTCTTCACTCAGGTCATCACTTCCATTTCACACCAGCCTGATCTCACCTTTCTCTCTACAAAATCATACATTAAGTGGTGAACTCTAGTTTCTTTATCCCTGCACATAAATGTGAATGGGAAATCTATTAAACATCCAAGGAGGCAAGCTGACTGGAGTGGCTGAGCAGTTTGAGTACCACAAGGTTTCACTTGGTGGGTTTGATAAATTGCAGATAATACAAAGGAGAAAAAAAGCACATGTCAGATTATCTAAAGCTGTAATAAGAATATACCAGTAGATATGTCTATATTTGTTCTTTCTTCATGAAACATAAACAGCTTTATCTGAAACGGAGCTTCTGACGAAATTAACAAAGAGATGTGTAAGGTTAATATCAAGAAAATTAATTTTACATTTTTTTGTGGCTGAAAAAATGAATTAATAATGACTTCATCTAAAAAAGGCAAAAAACAACAACAACTTAATTATGTGCAAGGTGGGTCTCATGAAAAACTGCACAAGTGTACCTTCATTATAGCTTAATGCATCCATATCTTTCCAATTGTAATATTGTATAG